CCCTGATTTAGCAATGAAAGACTAGAGAGAAGGCAGTTAGTCATCAACATCCACCGCCAACTAATGGGCTACTCTTTTACCAACGAATAGTGGGATTGACTGTCACATTATAACGCCCCCACGGCTGAAAGGGCGAGCATGTTTGGTGGGACGGGGATTCGAACCCGCGACCCTCAGATTGCGAGTCGAGCGTCTTAACCACCTGGCCATGCCGGTCCATCTTTTTGTGTTTGAGAAAATATTTTATATAAATATATATTACTTGAATGCAGAGCTGGCCATAGTTTAACTAGAACCTTATACAGGAATTAAGGCTGCGCCCCTACTCACAGCGAAGACCCAAACATTTAGAGCCCCCGAGAATCTGACGCCCTAGGAAGCCACCTATATTGACTATCCGGAACTACTTGAACTTACCTTGCAGCAACGTCAATAACTCTTATGAGTTGTTTCACGAAGCGATTAACAACCATCTCTTCATCATTGTCGTCGCTCAATTCAAAGGCATCATCAAAGAAAGCGTGAACTGAAATAAAAAAAGTGCATATGATTTAGGAATAACAACCAATCAGAGCAAGCTAACTACTTAGATCAACTAAGTAATAAGTACAGCTAATTAAATATACTTTTCTTACTAGGAATAACAACCAATCAGAGAAAGCTAACTACTTAGATCAACTAAGTAATAAGTACAGCTAATTAAATATGCTTTTATTACTAGGAATAACAACCAATCAGAGCAAGCTAACTACTTAGATCAACTAAGTAATAAGTACAGCTAATTAAATATACTTTTCTTACGTTTTTATTTATACAGATTAGAATGTATTGTTTCATCAGTTAGGTGTCCTTGCTGTTAACGAGATTTTCGGCCGTAAATCCAATAATATCTCACGATCTTCGGCCTTTTTTTTTATTTTGAAGGTTTAGGTTAGTCCTAAAATGCATATACTAAGCTATCAATGAAAAATAATATCAGTAATAAAAGTATTATAACACAAAAGAATCAAAATAGCTATATTAAATATTCATATCAATACTGTTATTGAAAGTAACTTTAAAGAAAGAATATGGTACACGTTACGAAAAACATAAACACTAGTGTTATCTTCAAATACTATCCTACTTGAAAATTATTTTCGTAAATGTAAACCTTGAAGATTTAGAAATACAACTAGGACTGGTAACAAAATCATAACGTTATTTTCGTAAATGTAAACCTTGACGATTTAGTTAAGGAGTTCAACCAAGAGTGGTAACAAAATCATAACGTTATTTTCGTAAATCTCAAGTACGAATTGTCCAAAATAAATTATTTCTGGTTAGTATTTTATTTTCCATAAAACAACAGATCATTTATTTTTATTCATTGATTTTTTTTACAATATTCTAACAAAAATAAAGTGTCCCACAAGTTTGGCCCTATAGAGAAATTGGGGTCCAGGGGCAACACAAATAATGTAAAAAAAAGCATCATTTTCTTACGAAGCCATACTTTTTGGTGCACCCTGTAGTGTAACGTACTTTTATCTTCATTTGGAAATAGACATAATATGTTTAAGTTAATAATTTCCTCGATAGGGGGCCGAAGGCCGCCTAGAGGAGTCACCTGTTTTAACCACTTGTGTGTTGTCCGTCGGTCAGTCAGTAGACACTAAAAGGACGTCACGTAAGGGACGCTTAACGTTACAATTCGTACTGTCGTAACGTCGGTAAAACGTGCGCATGCTATGAATCACGAGAAGAATTATACACTCTGTACGATACAACACAGCATGACATATAAACTCTTGAAACAGAACACATTCGGGGACCCTGAGATAGTACATCTGGTAGTATCTTTTTACAAGAAGTAAATTAATTATTGAAATACCTTCGAATTCATAGTAGTCAGGATCAACAATGTTGAGGTATTTTTGGGCATTTCTTCGAGCACATTGGTCCTCATCCATCCTGGGAATAGTTTGAAATATTTAAGTTATTTAACTTCCAAAAATAAAATGTTAACACAGACCTTATTAATATATATATATATGAGTTTGTGAAGTTTTTAAATTTTGTATGGTGTGTTATAGTTAGGAGTTCAAATATAGTTAAAAATTTTAACTTACTAGTTTTGCCTTATAATTTATTTTTTATTATTATTTAAAATCAAGACATTAAGATTGTTTGTTTTGAATTTCGCGCAAAGCTACACGAGGGCTATCTGCGCTAGCCGTCCCTAATTTAGCAGTGTAAGACCAGAGGGAAGGCAGCTAGTCATCACCACCCACTCGTAAACTATTATTTTGCCAACGAATAGTGGGATTGACTCCCCACGGGTGAAAGGGCGAGCATGTTTGGTGGGACGGGGATTCTAACTCGCGACCCGCAGATTGCGAGTCGAACGCCCTAACCACCTGGCCATGCCGGGCCAAATATTAAGAAAGTCTTGCTCTGAACGCTTTGCTACTCTGTGGAATTCATTCACAAACTGAAAAATGCCTTAATTCATTTATATTTCTTATAATACGTCAGAAAATAAAGTTCGTGCTATGTTGTAAATTATAGTTTGTTAAAATCAAAACCCATAAACTCACTTCGGGTAACCATCCATTAACGTAATACTTAATTTATTATTTCAATTGTTTGTGTGTGTGTGTGAAATGTTATAATAATTTATTTTAATTGAATATGGATAGAACGAAGTTCGGGAAACTAAACACCAATTTACTAAGTTGTCCCACTCGTCTGAATTCACAACACTGTTTTGATTTTTCACACACCTCATGACAGACTTCAGCATCTGTATCATTTCGTCAGGCGTTTCGTGCCACATTGTAGCGCATGCGTAGATGCGAGTAATATGATCACTGTTCCGAACAGTATGTCCGCTCCGTCCGTTATGGCTGCCAGAGGATTCGTCCGTATGTACGGATATAGTCTCGTAGTATTGGGAGCTGTCGGTGTATTCGTTCACCACAAGATCAATATCCTGTAAACCAAATAGTTTTAAAACTAACAAAATAATTATTATTTAATTAATTAATTTTCCCCTGTAAACATATTCATTACCTAAGGTCAATAAAATGCATATAGTCTAAAACTAAACCGTTTATTAATATAAAAAAGTAGAAAGAAGGGACAACGTTGCCGAGACAGGTTCATAAATTTTTAATCATGCAGTATAACGTTGCCCCTTGTTTATATGTATTTATTTTAACATAAGGTTGTTTTTTCCACCTTGTTTAAGACAACTTTTGTTTGTTTTGAAATCTTGCGAAAATAAAATCAATTTGTTAAAAAATATATATTAATCACAGTATTAATTCATACAGTTATCAGAATATTAGTTTCCCTAAACTAGTAAAGTTCTGGTTAAACAAGAACGATGAGGATTAGGTTTTGAGGGATAAGTGAGGGGCTAATTTCGCCAAGAAATTAGTGGAAATTAGCTCATTTCACAATTTTCGACTTACACTTATGTTCGAAACTAATTATCACAGCGATACCTAGCGGATTATATGTTAACCTAAAGAATTTGGCCGAAAAATATCGTTTTCTTTGCATGTATTTAGAGTGTCGTAATCCAGATCAACAGTTAAGTATGTTGTAACACAAAAAAGACGTACTCATTTCTTTACAGTGATTAAGTCGTTCTGTCTCATCATGAAATTAAGCTGTTCTGTCTCATCAGAGATTAAACTCTTCTCTTTCATCATGAGATTAACTTGCTCTGTCTCATGTGATTGAACTGTTCTGTCTCATCAGAGATTAACTTGTTCTGTCTCATGTGATTGAAACAGAGCAAGTTAATCTCTGATGAGACAGAACAGCCATGTGATTAAACTGTTCTGTCTTATTAGAGATTAACTTGCTCTGTCTCATGTGATTAAACTGTTCTGTCTCATCAGACATTAACTTGCTCTGTCTCATGTGATTAAACTGTTCTGTCTCATCAGACATTAACTAGCTCTGTCTCATGTGATTAAACTCTCCTGTCTCCTCAGGGATTAACTTGCTCTGTCTCATGTGATTAACTCTCCTGTCTCCTCAGGGATTAACTTGCTCTGTCTCATGTAATTAAACTGTTCTGTCTCATCAGAGATTAGCTTGCCCTGTCTCATGTATTGTTTGTTTTTGAATTTCGCGCAAAGCTACACGAGGGCTATCTGCACTCGCCGTCCCTAATTTAGCAGTGTAAGACTAGAGGGAAGGCAGCTAGTCATCACCACCTACCGCCAACTCTTGGGCTACTCTTTTACCAACGAATAGTGGGATTGACCCTCACATTATAACGCCCCCACGGCTATAAGGGGAAATATGTTTGGTGTGACGGGGTTTCGAACCCGTGACCCACAGATTGCGAGTCGATCGCCCTAACCACCTGACCATTCCGGG